TGAAAAGCAAAAGAGAGATGAGAGGAGTTCAAAACTATTTGATACATGTAGGGCAATGTGGGGTCATTTTGAGACTGACTAAACACAGTGCAAAATCCTAGGCTCAGCTAAGAAGCCAGAGTGGCTGGAACAGGGATTGAGGTTGTTGTTTGTGCTTTGGGATTGAGTCAAGGTGAGTGACACCTTTCTCAATGCATTTAGCTCTTAGCCCTAATGGAAGTCTTGTGGACATAGTCTCATAACAAAATCATCAAGTAAATGAATGATAGGATTTATTATCATTTAATACTATTAGATGCTATCAAAGTGTTCATTAACAATGAATATTGTTTTTAACCCACCAGAAGACTTATTTTTACATTTCTCAGTTTCAAAATAAGTGCATAGGAAGAATGTATTACACAGGATATTAAATTCTTTATGTCTTGGACTTTCAGCTTCCTTTTTTCTAGAATATGATGTTTAAGCTGCTTTTAAATCATGGGTAAAATTTTTTACAAAAGCATTTCCATGTCCCTGTTGAATGGCATGATAAAATGTTTCTGATTTCTTGAGTGTCTCTGAGTCACTCTCATGTCTCTTTGCTTGATTACTCAAAAGTTGTCTGCTGACACTCAATCTTGTAATATGTCAAAGTTAACAAATAGAAACATTATAAAAGACAAGTATTGGACAATTTAGCTTGCAAAATCACTCAGAAGTGAAACAATTATTCACTCAGAAGTTTTTATCATTTTAGCACTTCATGAAATCTGAACCCATTTATTTCTATTTTGCTTAAATTGAACACCTAACTCACAAGAAGTATGCTATTATTCTGAAATATTGTCAAAACTTGACTAAATATATTTGCAGAACTATTGCATAACTATCTCCCTGTGGGGTATGTAGCATAGTCCCTAGTAAAAAGTTTATACATAGCAATTTACTGCATTTTTGCTATTGTTTTAAAGCAGGTGCTGCCTTCATGATGCTCTTCCTGATCATAAACATCACATAAATCAATTCTAAATTACTATTTAGTTACTTAAACCTAGCCTAGCATTCTTGTTTTGTTTCGCTTCTGTCTTTTTTTGACAGGGTCTCTGTATAGCCCCAGTTGGCCTGGAACTCACTGTGTAGACCAGGCTGGCTTGGATCACAGAGAGCTACTTGCCTCTACATCTTGAGTGTTGGAATTAAAGGCATGGTCCACCACACCTTGCTTGGGTTATCATTCTTGATAAGTGACAAGAAAACAATCGTGCACAATAAGTCAAATTTATCTTTTTTCTTGAACTGTTTTTAATTAATTTGTATCAGAAAACTTTATTCGTTTTATTAACTTACACATTCCAAAGTCATTTGAATATTCTTTATGTGCAAGACTATGACATTTTCAATCAGAAATATTTAATTTTTTTCTAATATGTATAAATTAAAAAAACCTCTTTGAATAGCTAAGCACTTTCTTCCATTAAATACAATTACAATTATACCCAGTTTTTTATTTCATTTTTATTTGAAATTTTGTGAATTTCATCCAATATATTTTGGTCATATTTAGATTACTTTCCTATCTTCTCTGCCCTTACTACCATTCACCCAATTTCATATATATATATATTATATCTTCCTATACTCTTCCTACACTCTACCATATATATGTGTATATATATGCAGCTATAGAGTCAGGTTTGTGTCTCCAGTTGCACTTTGACATGGGTTCAGCCTCAGAGATTATTTTTAACATAATAAATGATATATGAAAACTCATACATAATGCCTAGAAAAAGCAATGGCACCATGTCATCTACTAAGACTAAATCAAAAAGAAATAGAATGTGTGAACAGACTGTAAGTCATTGAGCATCACAACTAACACATGCTTGTTCTAGATTTGAAAAACAGAACAGTATTTTAAGCATCCAAACAAAAAGAAGCCCAGAACTAGTTCCCTGCATTGGTAAATAAAGAGAACTGATACTGGTAATGCAAACTTTTGCCCAAAATGAAGAAAGAGAATATTTCAAAACATAATTTAAGAGGCCAACAATAGCTATAAAGACCAATGCCAATTGAAGACAGCACAACTCAGGAAAACTGGAGGCCATATCTTTGGTGAATATATATTAAAATACAAAAAAAGGTAGGAGCAAATGAATTTAGTAGCACATTAAACAGCCAGAAATATTTGTAAACATACTGCAAATAGGAGTCAACACACAGCCATCCATTAATGCTGTGTATATACCACATTTACAGAAGTTTAAGTGTCATATATCACAAAAGCACTAATAAAAGCCTTTCAAAAGGTCTGTCAGACTTTACAGTAAAACCCTCCAGGAACTAAGAATTTTAATAAGTAGATAAATAAAAATTAATTATAATATCATATACAAAACCAAATTTAACAAGTGGAATATCTATTTATGTAAGATCAATGAGTCAGTTATAAATACCCATTTTCCTGTTTTGGAATATAAGAACATGTTACAATTAAAAAAACATCATACTCTATAAAAGTTTCATATTGGACCTATTCACGTAATTTTCAGTAATAGCATTTATTAACATATACTTTACATGGAAACTTTTCCATAATATTCACAGATGGTATTATCAAATTCTTTGACATAATTACACATGATGTAATCAATACCTTCCAGAATGAACTCTAATAACACAAGGCATATACATTGAAGAAATATATTCAATGCATAAATCAAAATATTATCTTACAGATATTTATTCACACAACTGATAAAGATATATTATACATTAATTTACAAATACTTAATAACCCCTAAACTTCATTACTAATGTTTTCTTATTGGTATATGATATGGTTTTCACATCCTCAAACTATGCTATGCTCTACAGAATAAAAGGTAATTATTATAATACAATAACATAAAAATCATTACTAGGAAAATTGAAAGCATGAAATATACAATATTTATTTTTATCATAATAGAGAATAGAAAAAGCAATTAGAAAACTTGGAGTCATTTAAAGAGATCACATGCCTTTGTAGATCATTTCATGGCTGCATTATTAAAATCAATAGTTACATTTCCACAATAGAAAATAAAATCAAATTTATTACTTTGTGAAGAAAACTTGTCACTCAAAAATTTCTACAATTCACCTATTTCTAAACAAAAATTAAATAATTAAATTATTTTTAATAATTAAACAAAACATAAAAGTAAATGAAAATAACAATATATTTTTCCTAAAATTATAGCAACCAAAAAACAGAACAAAACATACTCTGAGCAATTATAATAAATGCTACTATGTACACACAGACTTTTATGATCAACTGTGCACAGTTATCCTCTGATCCCCCTTTAAGTGTATGTAATCATAGTGTGAACTTCATGCTTCCTTTCCCTGAGAGGGCAGATGAGATAGATGTTGGACATCACAAGGGCAGAGAGAATTCCAATGCTCTTGGTAAACGCAGTGAGAACACAGATACTGACAGCTGAAAGTTTCACAGCAAGAAAGAAAACATGACATTTCAAATCAGAGATGAAAAGTGAGAAAAAAAATGTCAGATGAAGAAATATGGGAATTTCCTTCACAGACAAGGAAAGCATTATGTGTAAAGACACAGGTGAGGAAATGTTTAATTAGCACAAAGATGAGTTTTATACAATGTTCACTAAGTTTCTATGCCTTCATAGATAGTGACCAAGTCCCTACTGAAGTCAGAGATATTTTATATTCAAGCATATAACTTACAGCACCTCAGGGAAATTAATCCTGTGTTTTTGAGTAGGTTTTCCATGCTGAGACTTGGGCTGCTCCCTACTTCATTTACTTATTTGTTCATTCTCTATTTTTGAGAATAAACAAATCACAGAGCCTTGTCATGATATTATGTAGCATAGGCTGGCTTTTAACTCACAACAATCTTTATGCCTCAGTCTCTTGAATACTCCAATTACAGGCATGCATACAATACCATGTTCTGGTCCCCA